ACTGGAGGGATGTGAGAAATGGTATGCTTCTATCAAGCTAAATTTCAAGGCTGGAGAATGATAGATCTTGCTATTTAAAATTCTACATGAGTGTGTGACTGTATCGGCTATTACTTTAGTGCACAGTCCCGTAATGTAAAATTATTATTCCCCACGTCTTGTGATTGTTGTTCTGGCGTAGATACGCGGGCTTGTGTTCTACTTATAAATATCAATGGCATTATGTCAGTCGGTGGCTATGAGTGTGCCGTATTACGGGCTTATGTTGCGTACTGTTATTGTTTATTTTGGTCGTTGTCGGCGGTTGTAGTTGTTGTCTGTTGATCTTGCAATAACATCTGATCTTTTGTCGGGTGATGCGTTGTGTTAGTCGTGTGGGTATTTTTATTGTGTTGTGTGATTTGTTGATCTAATGGTAGCGTCAGTAGATTATAGGTGTGGAGGTTCTATGTGTGGTTTGGGTTAGTGGTCGTTATGGGGGATGGTGTGTGCATGTGCGCGTATTACGGTGGGTGTTGTGGTGTGTGTGTGTGGTGATTTGGTGATAGTTTATAATGATTGACTAAAATTGCACTTCTTATTTCCGATGTCAGCTGGGTCCTGTTCGTCAGCTATACTGGCTGATTCCACTGCAGATAAAAAGGCCCAACCAGTCCGGGCGACGTCGCTGAAGATTGTGGCCACCAGTAAGCCGTGTTATAATTATTGGCCTTATGTTCGTTTATACATGCTTTTGTACACTTCCCGGGGGTTTTGTCGCCCACGTCACGGAGGCCACTCGGCACTACTCACGTTTCGGCGTTCGTCCTTGGCTGCTGCGGCGGCGCGCCGGCTTGCCACGGGACAACAGGAAACGATTGAGGAGCCGAGGGTGTTCTTCTAGTTGGAACGGGGCGTCGATGAAGGCTATGGGTTGAAATTCAGTCGGCGTGCCCACACGGCCAGCACACTAAAACATGGACAGCCCAACGTTCAAGCGCGCGGCTGCGGCCTGAGCCTCACAGAAGGCCAGATCCCTTTGGCGCATACACACTCCGTTGCTGGCGAGCACGCGCGGCGGAGTTCTTTACCACCGCGTGTCCGCGTTAGTCCGGCATAGCCGCGTGCATACGTCCTTGTTTGACCCCACCATTGCGGCAACCGGGCCAGATGTAGGCTGAGGCGACCATGAGCTATATAAAACTATTCATTATCGGGGCATAACACACACGCGATTTTAACACCGGGGCAGGGCGGAGTGAGTCATACGCAAGCGGGCTCATAGCAGCTCGATATCTCGTATACTTCTAATTATCTACTGGTTTGCACCCACAGCTCGGTCACGAGGGCGCTCTGAGCTGGCTTATGCTCCGCGAGAACGCCACGCACCACTCATGATAAGCCAGATACGAATAGAGTGCTTTCCGGTAAGACCACGTACAATGCGCTGAATACAAGTACCTAGAGTGAGGATTGTGGTTGTGTTCTAGCTGCAGATGAATTTCACGTGTCAGGTAGCAGCTGTTATATGCCTCATACCAGTCACGTTGATCATGATCAGTATGTGCCGTCTAGTCTGTTATCAATCTTGTCATGACAATTGAACATGGAGTGTGAGATAGGTCATGACTAATATATGTCGATTAATATTCCGGTCCGCAAGCAATGAGGACTACACACTTTTTGTTTCGTAGAAATTTCACACTTTTAACGTGTTCTTATTTCGTTTTTTAAGTGGCATTTTTTTCGGGTTTTTGATATATATTTTGGACGCATAAATGATCTCAAATGTACTTTTATAATCTTGGTTTTAGCAGGTCTCGAGGTGATGTGGCACTGATGTGCTTACGCTGTTTAACTTTAGCGGCGCGCGCGTGTGTGTGTGTAAGTGTGACGCGCTGGTTTGTGTGTGTGTGTGAGTTTAGTGTGACCGTAGCCATGCGTTGCGTGCGTAGTTATTAATAAGCTGCAGCTCCGGCGTTGAAACTGGAGCTCAATGCAATTCGCGAGCCTCCACTGTTGTGGTGTGGTTCGTGTGTTGTGTGTGGTGTAGCCCACCCGCGCGATTCGATAGCGCGTCGAGTCGCGAGTGGCTGGAGCAGCAGCAAGCCACCAGTGAGCGGCGAAAAATCGATAGCGCGTCGAGGGGTTTCGACCCGCGAGGTGGCGAGCCAGGGCCAACAGCCACCAGTGACTGGCCGGAATGCCATAGCGCGTCCGAGTCCCAGGCGTAGTTGTGGCTGAGTCAGGCAGCAGCAGCCACCAGTGAGTGGCGAGTTCAAGCAAGCAAGCCGCCACCGCCGTACGAGCACAATACCATGGTTACATGCCGTCCTTCTCGGCGGAGCCTATGCCACTCCCGTGAAGTGCCCATTCTAGTCCTAGTTAGGACCTTTTGCCATGCAATGTCTTGGTGCGTACGCGGGGTGTCCGGCGGCGGCTGTGCGTGCCGTGCGTTGGCGGTCGTGCGTGCGGTGCGTCGCGTGCGTGCGTGCGGCGTGCGTGCGTGCGTGCGTGCGTGCGTGCAGTGCGTGCGTGTGTGTGTGTGGAGTGGGTGCGTAAAGCGTGGCACGTCGTGTGCGTTCGTGCATGGCATGCGTGCGTGCGTAACCAAAGTGTGGCAACTTTTAAGGCATTTAGAAAATCGGTGCCGGTGTCAATGTCTGCTTCTATAAACTTTAGGGTGGGCATGTGTTACATATGTCTACACACTCACGAGCGTTCACGTTTCACTGAGTAGCACTATAATGTTGGAAGCTCTGCTATCTGCCAGTAGTGATAGCTGGGGTGGCTGGTAACGTTTAGGTGTATTGTCTTGATTGTATAGAAGTTGTAGCAGGGGCGTGGTATGTGAAGTGTGTTGAAGAGCTTGAAGTTGCGAGATAGTGGATGGTGGTAATGTAATACAGAATTACAGTACAGTACAGTAGCATTACAGTAAGCCGTTGTCATGGGGGTGCTTGGGTAGCGGATATGAGACGATGTGTGCATGGAAGAAGTTGCGGTTTCAATATGGTGGATGGTGGTCGGGGGATAATGAGTGGGTAGGATCGAATAAGAGAATGTATAGAGATGGGAAGACGTGTATTCGTGTGTGTGTGCGCGCGCGGCGCGCGGCGCGGTGTGTGTGTGTGTGTGTGTGTGTGTGTGTGTGTGTGTGTGTGGTGTGTGCGTGTGCGTGGTGCGTGCGTGCGTGCGTGGCGTGTGTGCGTGTGCGCGTATGTGTGTGTGTGTGCGCGTGTGCGCGTGCGCGCGTGCATGTGTGTGCGTGTGCGTGTGGATGTGAGGGTGCAGTAAGTGACCGAGTGGCCGTCTAGGTAGGTACATGGGTAACGATGACTGTGTGTGGACAGGGTAAAGCCGGAGTGTGAGCGTGCGTTAGTAATGTGTATGTGGGGCTAGGGTATGTACAACTACGGCACATACAGTCGTCGCTGATGCTTATGTGGCGTGTGCTCGTCGTTCTGGCTGTTGCTCCACACAGGTCATGATGCATCTTTACCATCGTGTCGCAAGCAGAGTTACAGCAGCAGCAGACAGTGAGTCCGTCATCGTGGGGGACAGTAACGTAGTGCCAATCTGGCTGTAGCCACCTGTCCACTTTGAAGTCGATGTGTAAGCCACTGTGGGCGCTTTGTTTCTTGTAGCCAGTTGTCTATTATGATGGTCTGTCCATCTCGTCTGTAATGGTTCATCTCTAATTGCTTAAGACTCCTTCATCGCGAGCTCCGCCAGTGTCTTTCTATTCTCTGGTCAGCGACACATAAGTCTTTGCTTCATCGTTAGAAAGTCCCTTCCGCCATATTGGAATTTACAGTTTCTCGCTCTTTCTGTCCGTTATAACCCCCCTCTTTTCCCAATATGTAGAAAACATTTCCCCTGATATATTGCGGTCTGTTTTGGAGCCTTTTGTATGCTGTGGGTATGAAAAGCTTTTACATGTTGGGTTTGCCGCAGGTTCTTCGTGGTGGGGGTTTTATGTTTCGGTAGTTAGGGACAGAAACAAATTTCCAGCACTGAAAATACCGGCAAAAATGAACAAGTGGGCGGGATAAGGTGGTCGGAGTAAAATTAGCAGCTAGATGACGAAGACGCAGTCTTAAGAAGGGAGATTGTAGGTACGACTGTGGGAGAAGATGCGTAGCAGTGGGAATGAGGACGGCTAGTTGAAGGAAGGAATGGCAAGAGAATAGAACATGGTGCGAGATGGCTTCGTGAGAGATGCGTGATGTATGGCTGACAAAACGTCGGTCGCGCACACATTTCGTTTTTTCTCATTGCGTACTTGTGTAAAACTGCGTCAGCAAGATACAAATGTGTGTACGCGTTTTGCGTGCATGTGTGTGTGTGGCGTGCCGTTCGTGCGCACGTTTGCGCAAACGTGCGTGTGAATGTGCCCTGTATATAATGTAATGTCTGTGTACGCGCGTGCGTGCCCGCACAGTGGTGTGTGAGTGCGCGTACGTTCGTCCCGCGCAACCACAGCCTCCTTAACATGTTCTTAGTTTCTCAGTGTTCTCACAGTTTCAACACACGTTCACTTAGGTGAAATCATAAATGCTGGCTGGCTAAGGATCACAGAGCGGCTTAGGCAGTTGCATATTCAGGACAAGAAGCGTGAGTTTGTGGTCACAAGCCCGTAGAATGCGAACACGTCTTGCGGTTCTTAGGCGTCGCCATAGATCTCGGATCTTCTTGATCCAGGGACGCAGGCATTGGCTTCCCGTGTTCCCCGGGGACCATGGTTTTCCGCCATGTGGTGTCGCAGGGACGAGTGTAGCTGTCTGTGCTTTGGGGCGATCGAGATTGAATCTCGCTTGAAAAACTGCACCTGTTTTCGACTTCCAATATTAGAGAGTCGGCAAAAAAAATAACTCAATGTGTTTATCCTCGGAGTGGCATTGGTTTTTAGCATGTTATGTCTAACACTGTTAGGAAAACTGATAAAACTGTAGTGCGAATGTTATCTTGTGAATATGGTGTCCACTAAATAATAGGCATTGCATCTAAACCTGGCCTGCACTGTTAGTCCAAATGTGTGTGATTATGTAGAACGAAGGTGTAGAGGTGGGTGTGTATATATATATATATATATATATATATATATATATATATATATATTATATATTATATATATATATATGGTTTCTGTTGTAGGTATGTGATGGTTTTGTATAGTTTAGCGAGTTAATAGCTTGTCACTTACATAGAATCTAATATTTGTTACGCGTGCCGTGTTTCGACTGCTAATTTATTGAAGGTGCAAATTCGGAGTGAAAATAAAAATAGAACAGTAGACTGAGTAGAGTGACTTACAGCTCATGGAGCTTAATTTGTTGATCATATATTATTTATTATTTATTTAATAATTTAAAGATGGTACATTGGTAGCAGATATTTCAACATGAGCTTGCAAGCTCCTCATCATCACCTTCACCTCTATCTGGTAGATGGTGTATATTATAGCGCTGCCAAGATAAAACTAGCATAAGCTGACACACAATTCTTAGGCTTGAGATTTCTGTTAGATGTACGGCATTTCGGTGCTGTTCTCTAGTTGGATGTCCGTAACGTTGCTATGGTAGATTGTGTGTTCTACCACCATTTCCCTATGAAGGAGTCGGCTATCAGCCCGCCCTCAAGAGATCGTTATTTCTCACGTCACTAAATCTATATCCAGACGCGGGGATTGCTTCAAGTCAGTAAATCTGCTATTTATAGTTTTTAATATCTGATGATATATTACCCCCATATAGGTATAAAAATTGCGCGAGTTGCATAAGGTCGAGGGTATGTGTGATGATTACACGACTGCTTTCAAGATGTCTACTGCATACAGCAGTGGTGCCTGCGTGCGACTGCTGGAGTTTTCGGGCTAGTGTCATAATATCTGTACGTGTACATACTAACGCTAATGTCTACTGTCCAGCGGTGGAGGTAATGTCAAAGAAGTGCTGTCGTGCTTGTAGTTGGTGTGTTTTGCTGGGCTCTTTCAATGATCTTAGTAGTGCACACTAACCCCGTGTTTGTTGACAGTAGTATCGCTGTCCCTCTTTCGTTGCTACAGTAATAACGAACGTATTGTTGTAGCAATTGTTATAGTATGTGTAATTTCGATATTTCTTAACGTGCATTCACCTGTGTGATCTAGTGATGTGTTTAACTGACTGCCATTAACGTTAATGTTAACTACTGAGTGCTCTGCCACACCAAATATTTCATTTCGGCATTTGCAGTTATAAAGGTGAATCTCTAGAAAGACGTGTCGGTAGCGTTTGCTTAAAACGATTTAACGTTGTCTATTTCGATACGCTACGATTTTCTATTCTCGATTTTTTTAGATTGAAATTGACGACATGAGAATTGAGCAAAGTAAAACATTGTTTATTGGTAATTGCCCGATAATTGAGGATGTAACTAATTGCGATCTTATCTGTTATGGCAGCTGGAACAGATATTCAGCCAGGCACGGCGCACCAAGCCAGAGGCTGCAGAAGAAGATGAAAAGGTGTGGGTTGTGGGGGCGGGCAAGGAGTATCAAGGGCATATGGTGGAAGAGAGATTGTGGTGATGATTCATGGTTTGAAGATTTAGTAGATACACTTTCTTGTAGCCGATGCCATAAGGTTTTTGAAAAAGAGTCAAACAACTTCATGTTAGAAAAGAAGCAAAACCAAGTTAGTAAGGAATGAAGCTTTACTGTATTTGCAGAGCAAAAATCAGTGTATACTTGACCTTGCTCTTCTCCCATCACGCGGTAGTTGTGAGTGAGGACAGTGAGAGAATGCGAAAGAGAAAGAGATGTGACCGAGTGGCCGTCTAGGTAGGTACATGGGTAACGATGACTGTGTGTGGACAGGGTAAAGCCGGAGTGTGAGCGTGCGTTAGTAATGTGTTTGTGGGGCTAGGGTATGTACAACTACGGCACATACAGTCGTCGCTGATGCTTATGTGGCGTGTCTCGTCGTTCTGCTGTTGCTCCACACAGGTCATGCATCTTACCATCGGTCGCAACAAGTTACAGCAGCAGCAGACAGTGAGTCCGTCATCGTGGGGACAGTAACGTAGTGCCAATCTGCTGTAGCCACTGTCCACTTTGAAGTCGATGTGTAGCCACTGTGCGCTTTGTTTCTTGTAGCCAGTTGTCTATTATGATGGTCTGTCCATCTCGTCTGTAATGGTTCATCTCTAATTGCTTAACTCCTTCATCGCGAGCTCGCCAGTGTCTTTCTATTCTCTGGTCAGCGACACATAAGTCTTGCTTCATCGTTAGAAAGTCCCTTCCCCATATTGGAATTTACAGTTTCTCGCTCTTTCTGTCCGTTATACCCCCCTCTTTTCCAATATGTAGAAAACATTTCCCCTGATATATTGCGTCTGTTTGGAGCCTTTTGTATGCTGTGGGTATGAAAAGCTTTACATGTTGGGTTTGCCAGGTTCTTCCGTGGTGGGGGTTTTATGTTTCGGTAGTTAGGGACAGAAACAAATTTCCAGCACTGAAAATACCGGCAAAAATGAACAAGTGGGCGGATAGGTGGTCGGAGTAAAATTACAGCTAGATGACGAAGACGCAGTCTTAAGAAGGGAGAGTGTAGGTACGACTGTGGGAGAAGATGCGTAGCAGTGGGAATGAGGAGGCTAGTTGAAGAGGAATGGCAAGAGAATAGAACATGGTGCGGAGATGGCTTCGTGAGAGATGCGTGATGTATGGCTGACAAACGTCGGTCGCACACATTTCGTATTTTTCCATTGCGTACTTGTGTAAACTGCGTCACAGATACAAATGTGTGTACGCGTTTGCGTGCATGTGTGTGTGTGCGTGCGTTCGTGCGCACGTTTGCGCAAACGTGCGTGTGAATGTGCCCCTGTATATATGTATGTCTGTGTACGCGCGTGCGTGCCCACCAGTGTGTGTGAGTGCGCGTACGTTCGTCCCCGCAACCACAGCCTCCTTAACATGTTCTTAGTTTCTCAGAGTGTTCTCACAGTTTCACACACGTTCACTAGGTGAAATCCATAATGCTGGCTGGCAAGGATCAAGAGCGGCTTAGGCAGTTGCATATTCAGGACAAGAGCGTGAGTTTGTGTCCATGCCCGTAGAAGCGAACACGCTTCGGTTCTTGCGTCCCATAGATCTCGGATCTTCTTGATCCAGGGACCAGCATTTGCTTCCCGTTCCCCGGGCACCATGGTTTTCCGCCTGTGTGTCCAGGGACGAGTGGTAGCTGTCTGTGCTTTGGCGATCAAGATTGAATCTCGCTTGAAAACTGCCACCTGTTTCGACTTCCAATATGAGAGTCGGCCAAAAAAATAACTCAAATGTGTTTATCCTAGGAGTGCATTGGTTTTAGCATGTTATGTCTACAACTGTTAGGAAAACTGATAAAACTGTAGCGAATGTTATCTTGTGAATATGGTGTCCACAAATAATAGCATTGCATCTAACCTACCTGCACTGTTAGTCCAATGTGTGTATTATGTAGACGAAGGTGTAGAGGTGGGTGTGTATATATATATGTGCCCGAGGCAGCGAGGTACATGGAGTACAGCTGCGATGTCGTCCACGTCTCTGTCACGTTCTCAATCATCGTCGAGATGACGGACCTCAGCGCCTCCTCCACAGGCGCCATGATGGAGGGAAGGGTCAATGGAACAACACGGAAAGAATTGTAACAGTGGACATAGTACTGAGCGTCAGCAGCATGTAGATCAATGATCCCACCGAGTCTAGCTATTACTTCGTTAGCCCACTTGTCCTTTCTCTCATCACAGATGTTCTCCAACTTTTGCTTGAATGTGTAGTACTACATCTATCTACAGTTTTACACTGCATGACCTGCACCCACCTATGTGGGTTTTTACTGTATTTCGGCTTACACTCATTCCCACACATCAGACAGTGTCGATTGAACTCAAAGTCTTTACATTCGGTCTTCAACATCATTTTGGAAACACCAACGTTAGCCTGGGAAGCTTTTCTCTTTCTCTGTTTATTGTTTCTACTCATTGATGTATAACTACAGTAACATGACTTGTGAGCTAGAATTTCACTGCCTGACAAAGTTGTGTACAGTTCATCACGTTTCGTTTTGCTTGTACCAATGATCTTCTGCACGGCCGCGGTCTTAAATGTTTGCAATGCTCCCTGGGCATTACATGGACTGAAGAGGCACTTCTCTCCAGCAGGCATGATGACTGCGATGGCCTAGGGTACCGCAGGACTGATGCTGGTATGCTGACCACGCCGGATCGGCTCACTCTGAAATTCCAATCCAATTCCAAGAAATCCAATTCCAAGAAATCCAAATTCCAAGAAATCTCGAATGCCAAGAAATGCTCAACGATGCACAGGTAGCAACCAAGCTAGAGTCCTAGAGTCATAGAGGATTGTGACAACTACTGTTTATTGTGTACTGTTTAAGGCTGTTTGCCATTTTCTCGTTGAAATATGCCTATCTATTATCTATGAACAGTGAATTTACATTAAAGTGTCTTATTTTGACCGTTGACCTTCCTTTTGACATTGACCTTGACCCCATATCCAAAAAATAACTCCAGAAATGGACTCCCTGCCCTCGAAAACCCCCAAAAAAAGATATTGCATGACACTCTAGGGCATCGAGATCTCAAATTGTAAATTGACCAAAATCCAAGATGAACGGCGGCGGCCATCTTGAATTCCAAGAAATGCTCAACGATGCACAGGTAGCAACCAAGCTAATTCAGCTCTCCTAACTATATAGAACACATTTCCATGAAAAAAGTTTAGAGTAATTAACATTGCAGGATCAACATTTTGGCAACTGGACTAATAACCTTTTGACCCTCAAGTGGAGGGTTAAACATGGATTCCTGAACTGCCTCAATGATGTCACAGTGTTCTCATATTCATGGCACATCCATAATCTGGAAACCCAATATGCCTCGATAGCCCAACCGCTACTGCACAGCATTACGGCTCAAAGGTCCTTGGATCGAATCCCATCAGATTTTTTATTATATACCTGTTTTCTGTATTTTTCTATCTTTATCCATTTAACTATTTCTTTTTAATTAAGGAAAATATTTACATGATTTATTTACAACAATTTCATAACAACAAAGAATTTTTTTTTTATAGGGTTAGTGTTAGAGCTAGGGTCACAATGCACCACAAAACAGGAGTTTCAGGCACGCGATTTGTATCAACCAATGGGATTTGGGAGGTATGCAGAATGCAGAAGGTTGCTGAAATGTAGCTCTAGAACTATAGCCATCCGCTCCGCCGCAGGGCTATAGAACATACTATGGCAATTTCCAGGTAGTAAGCAAAGACAACTTTTTGCGCTTAATAACTTCTTCGGTACGCCAAATAAAGCACATTCTCTGTCGCACAAATGTCTTAAGTTACTGCAAACACTAAAATTAAACTGCAAACTAACGGTTAAATGTTGTACTTGCTATATTACTCGTCGACGAAGATTATTTTACAACTTGCCACAGCCATTTTTCGTTGCGCGGCACTAGCGCGGTTCCGGCGCTAGTGAGCGGGCACAATGTATTTCCAAGTGGAGGGGTGGGCAGGTCGCACGCGGTTGCAAACCGCGCTAGTGCTGCACAACGAAAAATGACGGTTTGCAACCGCGTGCAACCTGCCCACCCCTCCACTTGGAAATACATTGTGCCCGCTCACTAGCGCGACTAGCGAAAAATGGCAGTTACAAGTTGGTAAATAACCTTCGTCGACGAGTAATATACCAAGTACAACATTTAACCGTGCAGTTTAATTTTAGTGTTTGCAGTAACTTAAAACATTTGTGCGACAGAGAATGTGCTTTATTTGGCGTACCGAAGAAGTTATTAAGCGCAAAAAGTTGTCTTTGCTTACTATCTGGAAATTGCCATAGTATGTTCTATAGCCCTGCGGCGGAGCGGAGGGCTATAGTTCTAGAGCTAGCTGAAATGATGTGTACGCAACTGCGTATCTGCATATCTGCGCCTAACAAAGGTGTCACTACGCACGACTTAAATGTTACGTTTATAACCGTAGCAACAGACCTCAGATGAGCCCAGACGCTCTGCGGCTCTTGTTCTTGAACTGCAAAAAGACTGGATCGGGACACCCACTTCCTTCTGACAGCTTTCCCTACGTACGTCGTGAGCATAAACAACGCGGGTGCCCCTCTTTCGAGCCTCCCCCCTCCCGGCATCCGTTCTTGGTTCATTATCACCGGAATCTTATGGCACATTTGCGGTTAGGTAATGATGCTAACCAGTCTTGCATATAATTGACTTGTGTGGGCGTGTGAAGGGCGTGAGTGCCAGTGGTTGTGGAGGCGGGTGCAACTGGAGTTCTGACTCACGCGGATTTCACTGACTCAAATTTTTTGGAAAGATGTTGTATGCAGTTTGATGAGGAGCAGTCAGTTAGGCGGGTGATACTCCATTAGGAGTGTTCCCAACTTTAATGTCATTAATGGTCATAATAACATATATATATATATGTATAGGGCGCACAGAAATTCGAAAACATAAAATCCATGGAAGAGCTCAATATATATGTGTTGGCGTCACACACATGCCTTGCTTTGCAGAGTTTGACTACAGACACGTCTCTACTTGTGCACCTGTTTGGGCAACGTGGAAGAGACGTCCTAAAGTACGAGGACTTCCACAGGTGTGTTAACACATTTTTGTGAAGTCTTGTGTTGTAGTCACATTTTGAGTGTATCATGTCATAGATGACAGTTATCTCACAGTAGGTTACTGTTCTGCGTAAAGCCACTTGCGTATGCCTATCAAAACTAATAAATTAACTACAGTTTTCTGCCAAACCTTGTCAGTGACTGCTTATATTCAGTGAGTGCTTGATATTTGTTGACCCTTGGACCCTATATGACTATATGTTCTCGTTGTTCAACATGAATATGCGATAGAGGCTATATTCGTGACCTTGAGTCTCCTTCATGACCTTCAGCAAGCGACAGTGCTCTGGATGGCAGATAGCTGCCGGAAGTCTCGTCATGTTTCCATCGTTCTTTCTTGCAACCGCCTGCATCGGTGTGTGGAGCATCTGTGCTTGTGACCTCACGTTCATCGTTCGGCCACTCTCTCGATGCAGGTTCATGGACAGTTTGCAGTCTGAGGTGCTGGAGTTAGAGTTTACTGAGTTCTCTCACGGCATGCTCACCATAGCTGAGGTGGACTTTGCAAAGATCCTGCTGCGCTACACAAAGGTGCGCATCCACGAGCAGGAGGACTACCTGGAACGAATGAAGGAGCGCATCCCAGAAGAGAAGGTACCAGTCACCTCGTTACTTCAGCTAGTAGGCATAACATACCAGAAGCCAAGTTAGACAGCAGTCTCTTATCTAATGGCATCTTTGACTGTGTGTGTGCGCTAAGCCTATGCTATGTTTTTCGCAGAATCTAGGCATCTCCTCTCAGGGTCTAACCTTGAGGATATTAAGGAAACAGCTTGACTGCTTGCATTAGCTGTGTGAACTAAGCCCTTCCTACCTTCCTCCTCATCCCTCCCTCCCTCCGCATCCCTCCACCCCTTTCTTCACAGACATGACCAGGCAGCATGTTGCCTTGATCGGTTTCGTGCAGCTGAAGAATCACCTGTGGCGTGCCCCTGCCACAAGTGAAGTAAAGAAGTGGGTTTTTAGCTCATCTGACGTATGTAGTAGTCAGATGCAGCTTGTAGAATCGCATGAGCATGCGTGCGTGCGTGCGTGCGTGCCGTCCGTCAACGATTGGCAGCAAAATCTTAACCGCTCGACGTACGGTCACGAATATTTGGGACGTGGGGGGGGGGGGTAATCCGAAAACGAGTTGGGATGTCGAAACTGGGTCAAAGGTCAAAGGTCAAGAGGTAAAAGAAGGGGGAACATCCTCCTTAACTTAGGTATAGGGAGGAAATGCAGAATTGCGGCACAAATCGTGAACGGCTTGACCTAGGCTCGTGATAGTCGGTGTAGTAACATCATGGTAGAAAAGCCATCAGTGTGCCGAATTGGAGGTCACGGTCAAAGGTCAAAGTCAATGGTGGCACAGGGCAGATTTAGACATTTTCTGAGGACACTGTCTGACGGAGCGATGAAAAACTTTTTTGTTTCAGCGGTGACCTACCATTTTTAATGGCTTTATTGAAGGACCATGAAATGTGCTTTCCACGACGTGCGAAAAGTAGAGTGTCTGATACAGTCGGTTTGCCGGCCCTATATGTCCTATATGGGACCCTGCAATGTTATTACAAACTTTTTCATGAAATGTGTTCTATAGAGTTAGGAGAGCTGATTTAGCTTGGTTGCTACCTGTGCATTGTGAGGCATTTCTTGAATTCAAAGATGGCCGCCGCCGTTCATCTTCGATTTTGGTCAATTTACAATTTGTGATCTCGATGCCTAGAGTGTCATGCAATACCTCTTTTAGGGAGTTTCGAAGGCAGGAGTCCATTTCTGGAGTTATACTTTTGGATATGGGGTCAAGGTCAAGGTCCAAAATGAAGGTCAACGGTCAAAATAAGACACTTTAATGTAAATTCACTGTTCATGAGATAGTAGATAGCATATTCTAACGAGAAATAGCAAACAGCCTTAAACAGTACACAATAAAGTAGTTGCAGTAGTTTCTCGCACAATCCTCTATGACTCCTCATCCTCATTACTCCTCAATCTCCGCATCACCATCATTGTCATTGTCGTCATCTACACCTAGCTCCTCTCATGTCTTTGGTGTCCATCTGATTTTCGTGAATTGACTACAACAGGCGACTCCTCCCTCACACTTGCAATCAGTCTGTGCATGAAAAGCCTGACACGTGCAGCTTGCAACGCTTCCCGTGCTATGCCTTGCCCTCTGCGCGCAGCATGCAGCTCACTACATCCAGAGAGCGCTTGGGAGCAACTGGCGGTGTTGAGATGGTCGTGTGTGATGGTGGAGGCCTTTGATACTCCACAAAAAGTTGGTAATATGTAGAGCTTCTTCAGGTGGGTCACGTTGGTTCGCTGCCTTCCACAGTAGCATCTGAAGGTGAGTTTCGGAGCACATGCAGCTGCAGGTTGACGTCAGTCGGTGGCAGTTTCTTTCAGTTGTGGCGGCTTCTATATGGCTGCGGTAGAGGCGAGTACGTGCATCATTCATTGTTGTACAACTCTTTCTGTCCGTAGAGAGGAAGAAGAAGCTGTCTGCTGTCGCTTTGAAGTTGAGGCAGGGTCGCCGCCAAGCTCTCCAAGCACTCGATCCAGACCTGGTATATCAATCTCCAGGAGCTTGAGTGCTGACTGTTTCCTTTTCCGAAGGGGACGACCCGATCGCAGCCTGACAGCGCATGGACACCGAGAAGCTGGCTGCACTTTCTGGGCCTAACCGCTCAACAGTTTTGTTGATATCCAGGACATCACCATTCCACTTTCCATTGAATCTTGGCAATGACCCCGCATCCTTGATGTACAGTACACCAGGAGGACGAAGACGTCTGTGTCATCACTGAGGATGCGGATTGTCTGGGCATCTTCAGTACTGCCGCGGCTCAGATGTAGCTGCAGAGAGTGATGTCTGCTGCAGCATGGGTGACGACACACGTCCAGCTTGTTGACAAGCTGGATGTTGTGTGGAAGGGAGTAGCCCGCATAGGATGTTGTTGAGCAGACTCTTGTTCGTGGCATTGTGAAGTATAGCTTGTCGCATGGAAGGGGTGTGTTTGGGGTTAGCCCGCACTTCCTGGCTCTTCCTCTTCTCATCTGCTCATGCTCCTTTGCGCTTAGGAGCTCTTGGTCATACCTGTCGAACAGGACTATTTTCTTTGAGCCAGGGGGGTAGTGGGCCAGTCGAGCACCAAAGTTGCAGCCAGATCTCCTGCGGTCCCAGCGACTGGACCACACAACGTGGTACAGCAGCTGACCGGCATCAACCAACACCACGTCTGGAGCAGGTGGAGTCTTGACAGAAACACCGAGACACTTGACGAGCACGGCCTTGTGCCTTCTCAAACATCCATACTCATCATCAGTGATGTTGGACTGGACTCAGTTCAAACTGGAAGATTGTTGAAGACCCCGCCAAGACCACAGCCGACTAAACAGGTTCTCGATGTCGTAGATGGCCTTCCCTTGACAGTGACTGCCTTCTGGAGTGCCTCCATTGATCTGACGATTTTCTTTATGGTTTTGTGGAAGTCACTCTTAGTGAAGCAGAGACTGCTTGCTTTGCTCACTCCCGATAGTCAGTGGCATCCTGAACATTCACTGTGTCGGGCGCCACTTGACCATTGCAGATGTTATAGAGGACCTGGATGCTGCTCGTTGAGGGGTGAGTGTACATCTCCAGCTCTGCTGCGATCTCCTCCGATCGACCTCATCCAGTCTTCTCCCTCTCCTTCCTCCTTGTGCTTGTTCTTCTCCTCTCCATTCCACTCGACGATGTGGCTCTCTCATCACCCCAGCTTCACTGTACATATCTTCCATGCGATGTCGGGTGGGCACACACACGACTGTGACCCACACAGCCACTTGCTCGGCGCTTGTCGATATGCCCTTCATACCTCCAAGCCCCCTTCCCTCGCTTGATATATGTTGTTCGCGAACGACATGATCTGCTGGCACCTGCGGTCCCGCCATCAGAATGCCGACAGACATGTGCGGCCCTGCGGTAGTCCTCCGGGCACGCTGGGGAAGGTGCTCCATCTGTCGCACATACCAGCTCATTGTGGGCATAATTATGGTGACCTGCTGCGAAGAAATACGGCAGCATTGCCTTGAGACAGTGCTGCTGAGAAAAGTCACCATTCCGCTCTCCACGCAGAAATGAGCGCCAGCAGTGTCGCTTGATGAGACAGTCCACAATAGCTCCCGGTTGGTTTTTTTCTGGCTGTCTCCAGTAGTTCACTCAGCTCTTGGTATGTCTTGGCACCATTTGAGTAGAAACTCTGCAGCAACACGGCGATGATGAATGGCTATGCCCATAGAGCCTTTGTCCAGGCCTTCCGGTGATGATGCTGGTCATGCCATCAAACGCTGCGCTCATGAGAACGTCCACGGCCAGATGCCTTCATCAGTGTCGCTATACAGCCCAGGAAATCATGGAGTGTGCATCATACCCGGGTGAAGTATAAGGTTGGTCGCACGCTGACGGTCTTTCCATTGGACTAGGCAGCAGTTCTGATATAGTTGGAGATCAACAGAGAGGTGGGGTGTACTGCATCCCAAAAGTTTTGAGAGTCCTCTCGAGTATCAGGAGCGTAGTCAGAACGGTGCCTGGGTGAGCAGTGGTGAATCGATCATCGTCCAAAACACCAGTGTCTTGGGCTTATAGGCAGAGCCGCCACTAGTCGGTCTTTGCTGAGCATTGAAGCCGCCCACTCGACAGGCTTGTCACTCTCATGGACTTGCGACAGCCAGGCTGCGTCTCCCTGCTGACTGAAACTCACTGCAGCGGATTGAAGCTGTGACTGCTTCTGCGGACAGAGCTTTCATTGGAATCACAGGGGATTCAGCTTGGAAGGTTCCTGTGTAGTGCTGCAGCTGTATAGCCTGATTGCTACTGAGTCGCTGAGGAATGCCTCGTGTTTCTTGACTCGAGGGATCGTGATGCTGCATCACACCAATGTTTCCTGTCTCGATGATTGGCGCAGGATGCTGGGTGAACTCCAATGATCATGGTGTGGGTGGTTTTCATTCCCATTGGCTCGTAAGTGTCAAAGTCGTAGTTGTCAGCCCAACTGAAAATAGGGCCGATCTCCCTGCTCAAGCCAGGCTTCTTTGGTAATTTGACTGGTTGTCCAATACGAACTTGGCCACTGACTGCGAAAGCGCAGCACTTCGTCATAGGTGCCTGTGATGCCGTGCTCATTGAGAGTTTTGATGAGCTCTGAACTGCCATGCTTATGGTGTAGATTCACAGCCAGCCCAAGCGTGGTCTGGTTTCTGTTGGCACCGCCAATGTGCTGCTGAATGCACTGAGACAAGGTCAGTGACGGCTTGGTGATGGCACCCCCTGATACGAGGCTAGAGACTAGTTTAAGAAAGAGTTGCACTGGTGCTCTCGATGACCTTGTGACGAGCATGGTCATTGAGGTTGTAGTTCCCAGGTCTAGGTGTATGCCATGACCGTCGCTCCGGATCTTCCTCACTAGCTTCTCCAGATCATCGCGTCATCCTTGCTCTGGCTTATTTCGACAATTCGATAAACTTTCCAAGGTTGGCTTTAAATCAACTACACTGTCACAGCCCTCGATGTGGAGTAAGAGCAGCTTGTCAGCCGAAGTGGGCCATGCCACTGGACACGAACTGTCTTC